GACAGGAGAGACTTCTGGGTGACACCTGGCTTCTCTCTCTGGGTCAAACAGGAGGACCTGCGTCTGATTAAAAGGGGGCAGCTGGCACTCTGTGTCAGTGCGTGCCACGCGGAAATGCAGGATTGGCCTCATCGGGTCATCCAGGTCCTTAGGAAAAGTTAGAAATCTGGATTTTCAAATGTGAGGTTTCCTACTTTTTAGATGTTGGCAGAATTTACAAGAACCTCGACCAAGGAAGAGTTAGCCTAGGGGCAGCCGGCTGGCCGCCTCTGCCAGGCAGTGGGGGCCATCGAGGGGTCCTGAGGACGAGTGGACACAATCAACGTACGTTTCAGAAAGAGCCCGGGCGGGGGGAGGTTGTGAAGGGGCAAAAATGGGGAGAGGCTGGAGGCCGGGGGACCGATCGGGGGACCGATCAGGGGCCCGGGAGGAGAAAGCAAGCCTGAGGCAGCCCAGCGGCCGGGCCGGGAGGAAGAGCAGTGGCCTTCCTGGTGGAGAATAAGCAAGTCTTGGCGTGTTCACGCCTCAGAGGGTGTGCACAGAGGCGGGCCGGGACCCTGTGAGCAGCTCCTCTGTCCTCTGCGGAGCCCACACTGCTCTGCGCATGGGGGTTGTCCCCTTCTCACTCCCATCCGCTGCCAACGAGTGTCTCCAGTTCCTTCTCCCATGTAGGAAAATTATTAGGGTCAGCCCACCAGGGCCAACAGTTCTTTCAGGGCCTTCTGTGCACACCCGTACTTAACAGGCACAGGCCCAGGGTTAAAGTCCTGGGCCTGGAGAATGGGACTGAGGGACGTTTTGCTAGTAGCTCTGCAGCTGGGTGCCCAGCACAGCCCATGGCCCGGGGACCGAGGACGGGTGTGGGGTTAGCATCGGTTCTCACCAGGCTCCGAGGAAGCCCGTGCAGTGCGGGGTAGGTCACTGCCTGAGGGCCAAGCATTTGGTGCCAGGTAGTAAGTCAGTGACTGAGTCAGGGCACAGACCCGTGTCTGCAATGCCTTGTCTGCTGCTTCCTGTGTTAGGCCCATGGCTCACCTTTCTCCATCCTTCCAGCTCACCTGGATGAGCCTCGTGGGTGCCCCCTCCGCTGCCCCTCAGCACATGCTGCCTCCCACGGAAGTTTTCTTCTGCCCCTCTCCCTGCCTCTCTCCCAGACATACGAGCATTCAGCAGCTCCTTCCTTATTTGCCATTTCACAAATGTCCTCGTATTTATAACATGAGTGGTCAAACTCATTTATGGTTCCATTTTATTTTCATGGTGATTAAAACAAGCCTTAGTTTAAATTCTGGTTGCATGATGGCATGGATTCTCATCAGAAGGATTTGGCACAATCACTTGCCTGCCAGGACCACAATCTGCTGGCTTTGGAATTGCCTGAAATATCCTTACATGCAGATGATTCCCCAGCGGGGTCCATGGTCAGCGCCAGTCGGGGAAGACTTTCTATTGGCTCGTGGTCACGCGCGAAGAGCAAGCACAGTGTGTGGAGAGGTTGCCTGTACACTTGTGTACATATGTGTACACGGATACATGGGTGTGTGATGCGGGGAGAGAAGCAGACACAGATTGTAAATAGTTTTCATGGAGCTCTGTTCAATGCAGAGGGCGGCTCTTTTTCCTTTCCTTACCCTTGAGGGGTTGAATTACTTAATGAAATGATGGTGGAAGAAAACACGATTAATATTTTATCAATATATAAGTTTGTCCACTCTCTCAGTCTCCTCATGTTTTTTAACATCGGACCGATGGGTGAGCCGCATCCAGAGACCGGGCCCCGCGGCAGCTTCTCAGTCCGTGCAGGGTTCTCCTTCCATTGGGGGTGGGGGGGGGCGGGGGGCGGGGGTGCAGTGCGCTCACTATCTTCAGAGGAAACCTAACTCAGTTTTGAAAGGTTCTCATTGCTAGAAAATTCTTTCTTATATGGAACTGAAGATTGGCTTCCTCTAACATCTATTAGCTAGTCCTAATCCTATCGTCCAGAGTAACGCAGTTTCTCTTTCATAGTTTCTTCAGACATTTGGAGGACCCCCATGTGGCTGAATGGTCGCTGCTTTAGCCAGGATTTCTAGGACCAGTGAACAACATTAGTGAGGAACAAATGAAGGTGCAATTCTAGTTTCTTCTTTCGTATCTTCTACTGCACAGCCTCCTAAGGATGAAAATAAGAACAACTGTAGCTAACATTCCACAAGTGCTTATTTTGTGCCGAGGTACCGCTTGCTGAGCACTTGACAGTCTATGAAATCTTCAGTCTTCACAACTAACCTCTGAGACAGACCCCTTATTAGCCCCATTTTACAGATGAAAAACTGAGGATTGGAGAGGTTAAGTAACTTGCCCATCGTCACACTGCCAGGAAGTGCTGGAGCTGTGCAATCTGGTTCCAGAGCTTGCACTTGTATTTAGGGAACTTTTTTCCGGTACTTTAACTACTAGATGTCCTTGCTCACCTCTCTGCTATTCATCACTGTCAAAGTTAGTAAAATATGGTGCCAGAATTGCACCAACAAACCCAAAGTGAGGGGACCATTCACCCCTTGGTTGGTCACAGTACGGCTATTAATGTACCTAAGATCTCATTTTATGGGTTTGGCAACAGCACTATGCCCTGGGCTCATCCGGAGCTTGTGTTTAACTCAACCCACTTTTTTTTTAATAAACCAAGTCACCCTATTCTATGTTTTTGCAATTGATTTTTGAATGTGAGAGTAGGAATTGGTGTGTATATTCTTGTTAAATTTTTTTCTAGAATTCTGTAAAAAATGAAAATGGATTTTCATGTGGACATAAAGTGACTTGATGGTTTAGAGTGATGGGATTGTAGGCAATTTTACTTTATTTTTGAAGTTATTTTATTTATGGCTGTCATGATATTATTGTGCAAGAAACAAAAACTGATGGAGGAAAAATTGACGTTTTAGTTTTGGCCCATCCTTTCAGCTCGTTAAAAGCTTTCTAACCCTCTGGAATCCATCTTTCCGGCAGAGCTACCATCCTTCCCAGCTGTGCATTGCGTGCCAATGGCAAGTCTGCCGTATCTTCTTCAGACACGCTGTTGTCTCGACAGACAGGCCCAGAGGCCGGGATAAAGCCCCACTCCATTCAGTTCAATCTGGAGACTTCCTGTGCTGAGATCCCGTATGCTCAGCAGCAGTGGGGCAGCACTTTGGAAGAACAGAAGCGGGAGCCCGCTGCCGGCTGGGGGCTGGGGCTGAGATGCTGGTTGTGGAATCTGGCCGGAATAAGGAGAGTCCATCATTAAACATTTCCACTGACTTTTTGTGAGGACTTGATGTGTGCTGGATGCTCTGCTAGGTTCGGGGGCTGTAGAGACATGTAAGATACAGTCCTTGTCCTCAGAGACATGCCATCAGTGATTTGCTCTTGTCTCTGAGGTCATGCAGATGGTACTGGACAGCCCCAGAGCAAGTGCCTCATCCTGGTGGACATGACTGTGAACGAGAGGGACATTTTCTTTCCATGGGCACATCACACTACACCCCGTGCCTGAGTCTTCTGTTTGAAATTCCACCTCTTCCAAGAAGCCACTCTGTCTTCCTTTTTATTTTTTACTTATTTATTTATTTTTTATTGTTCAAATAAAGCCTCTCTGTCTTAATTAGAAGGAAAATACTAAAGGTGGGGATTGGTGGTAGGACTTCTCTCTTTCGTGCCGTTTCCTTGCTGAAAAGCCCTCGGTGGTAACTTTGGGCAGTAACAGAGTTACTAGACTTGTGGGGATCGCTTTGTAAGGTATGTAGATGTCAAATCGCTATGTTGTACGCTCGAAACTAATAGAGTATTATATACCAGCTATAATTAAAAAGCCAAACACTTCGGCGGCTCCGCAAGCTCACAGCCCAGCACAGCCTCCCTGACACTCGCAGCCCCGGGTGCTCTGGCCCGTCCCGCTTGCTCAGGGCTAGTCCCCCTCTGGTCCCTCTCAGGCTGACCGGCCTCTGCCTTGTCCCGGGGCCCCGCGCGCTTCCCCTCATGCTTCCTGGGACTGCCTCCCTGCTCTCTCCCTCCTGTCAGCCACATCTTCTCCATCCAGCCCTCCAAGACCCCAGCCAGCTTCTGCCACCCCCTAGTAACTTCCTTGAGTGCTTGGCGCTCGCTGCCTTCGTTACTCTCTGGAGGGAGAATTACAGCCTCTACCTCACAGTTCAGCACTACTTTCTATATAGTCTTGTCTTATCTGCTGCTGGTTCATGTGCTTAATCTTATTCCCCCAGTGATGTGGGAGCACTTTTATAACAGGACCTGTCGATTTTACTCCTGCTGTGCCTCGCGAGTGTAAATCATGGCATGGGCACCTGGTGATACATGCTGGGTCTCCCTCGTTCTTGCCCTGGCTTTCATTGCCTTATCCCAGAAAGTGGGTAAAAGGCAGTCACGTGGCTAGTCTTCCCGGTCTTGCCTGATTATTCTCCACGCATATTCTTTTCCTTCCAGCCCAACGAGGCTCTTCACCGTTGCATGGAAGTTCCCTCCTACATCACCTTTCCATGTTCTTGCCATAAAAAACAGCATTCGTTGGGTTGTTTGTTTCATGGTTTTTTTGCAGCCTTCCCTACATATGGCGTTCACAGGGGCTGCTCAGCTCTGTCCCCTGCCTGGGGTCTTCTCAGACAGGAGGCGCGAGTAACGGGTTGCTGCCTCGGTCAGCTCCGGGCTCCCCGCAGCCATAAGCCCCTCTTTCTGAGATTTCTATAGGGAAGAGGATGGAACTAAAAAAAGAAAACTGAAGCAACAGGCACGTAAGAGAGAATGAGTGATCCCATCTCTGTCCCAGATAGCGGCCTCCCAATGACAGTTTTGCACCCGGGGTCCCTCGCCCGGGAGACCTGCGCACGCAGCACCACGGGCGCAGGGCTGTCGGGCCTGGCTCTGGTCCTGGGCCAAACCAGCTTCTGATTTTACCGTCAGCCTCCCCCTGGCTCTTGCTCCCAGCAGGATCATACACAGTCTATAAAAATGTTTTCTTTCATCGACAGGTGAAGTCTGGAGCAGGACTCCGAGGCTTTCTGTCCTCCATGCCGCTCCTCAGAAGAGGGACTGTGAACTGTAAGTAAATTTGATCGGCGTTCTCCATGGTGACTCATTAAGGTTGAGGGTTAAAGACCAGCCCCGAACCTGATCTTTAACAGCCATGCACTGTGCACTGTGCAAGAGAAAACACTCAACAATGGGCCAGTCAGAATACAAACTACAGTGGACCTCTAATTAGAGTAAGTCTGAATGTGACAAAGATGCTCTGTAATGTAACATTCTATTTAATTAGACTATTGACTGTGCGTTAGGTGGCCTTGCTGCATTGTGTGTCAGAAGTGTTGGAGAGGGAAGCTCTTGAGGTTGCAAGGCTGACCCAGACTCTGGCCCCTGTGATCTGTGGACTAAGCCTGGGGGTCCAAGAGAGGGGATTTGGGCTAAGGTCATTGTCCTTGCTTTTACACCTTGTTGTATCTACGGATGGGGTGAAGAAGGCCAAGGAAATACCTCTGGCCGCTTCCCTTCCCTTACACAGTAACGCTACATCTCATACATGTGCTTACTGGTTCATATTGGTTCTCCCACTCGGCAAAGTTCTCGCACTGGGCGAGGTTCAGCCACCGGTAGGACCCGGCCTCAGTGCAGTCTCCTCTGTGGAGCCTTCTTTGTTTAACTCCAGCTTGGAGCGATTTCTCCTTTTTCTGAAATTCTGCTGCATTCCCATGCCGAGCCCCGCTGCCCCGGCCCGCCCCAGGCTGGGAGCTCCTGGAGGTGGCCCGGGATTCCTGGAGGTCTTCGGGCCCCAGTGCGCCTGCAGCCTGGCTGCCTCCCCGCAGGTGTGAGCTGGGAGGCTGGGCTGCCCTGCTCCCCCACACTGCTTCTGGGGCTACGGAGGCCGAGCTGCTGCTACGACTTTGATAGTACATTGGCTCCCAACCAGTCCATGGAATTATAAATGATTAACCGTTATCAGCACACATCTTCACCTCTGTGTAAAAATAGATTGACTGTAATGAGTATTTGAATAAATCATAAGAATGGCCGCCCTGCGATCGTCTAACATCCTGCCGATGGCTGCCCGGTGAGTGAGCAGGGCGCCGGCCCTCCCGCCTAATGGTCTGCGATTTAGTGCCGGTCGCCTCTGTGATTGACGGCCACGGCTCCCGGGGCACCTCCTCTCCTGCCCGGGCTCTGGAGTGGTCGGATCCCCGGGCCCCGGGGGTGGGAAGGGTGCCTCCCCCCATCCTGTTCCAGGAAAGCCGACCTAGGAGACAGGGCTGGGGTGAGGGAGCCAGAGTGGAAAGATAATGACCTTGGTGAGGATCGATGCCTCCTCGCACCGGAGGTTAGAGGGACCTCGTAAGTCAAGTCAAGTACGAGGGGAACAAGCTGAGCGTGAACCTTAATGAGAGCGGAGTGTGTGGGGAAGATAGGTCTCCATGTTCTCTCCCTGTCCCTGAGGGCAGCCAGGCCTCTGGGCCACCCACGCTCAGGAACAGCCCCCTGGCCACCGGGACGCAGCCTTGACCCGCACCGAGGAACGAGGAAAGGGGTTTCTTCAGGTCCCAGGACTCAGATGTGGGAAGAGTCAAACGATCCTTCCAGGGTGGGGGGAGAGGATGCGGAGAGGCAGGCTCAGCGGGCCTGGGACCAGCGGAGGAGGGGACAGCCTGCAAGCCTGGAGTCCCGGCGAGGGGACCATGACCTGTGTGCATGTGACTGAGGAATGGCAACAATTCCTATTTAACTTCAGCGGTGCGCCTGTGGGTACAGCTGTGTAACAAAGCGTCCTGGAACTGGGTGACTTAACAATGCTCGTGGTGCTCATGTCGTCTGCAAGGCAGGGATTCAAACAGGACCCAGGAGGGACAGCCGGTCCCTGTTCCCCCAGGTCCAGGGTCTCAGCTGGGGCAGATAGAAATCTGGGAGCTAGAATCACCTAAAGGCTCCTCATTCAGGGGAGTGATACTAGCTCTGGCTGAGGCATTAGCTGGGCCATCAGCCAGGCTCACGTACTTCCCCACGTAGCTGGGTGTCCTCACAAGCTGGCGGCTGAATGCCAGGGGGCACCTCCTGAGACAGAGTTAGAGCCAGGAGGGAATGCCGTTGCCTTTTGTGACCTGCCCCCCGAACGCAGGCAGTGTCACTTCCACCCCGTTCTGATGGAGGCAGGGGCAGGGGCTCCTCGGTGTAGAGAGGGGAACGCAGAACTCCGCCACCACGACCCCAAGCAGGAGAGCGGCAGCGCGCCGAAGGGCGTGCGGGGCGGGCGTGTGCTGCTGCGGCCACTTGGAGAACACGATCCCCCACAGCTGGTAACTGTGCGGCCTGGCACGGCGTGGCCTCGTCTGTTTTCAAGGACAGGCTAAAGAAACGCTCGTGTTAGATAGTGAAACTGTCCCTCAGCCCACAGAACGCCTGGGTTTGGAGATCCCCTGAGGCCACGCTAGGCTTCTTCCCGAGGTGGGCCACCCCGAGGACATGCCGGTGTCTGAGGCCCTGTTGTGGGAGGAAGCCTCTATCTTTCAGTCCATCTCTGCCAGCGTGGCTCTTGTTGGCAACCCACAGTCTGACGTGCAGGACTACAGAGGGACTTGGACCTCTGACCACTTCATTCCTGTCCAGGGCTCCCCACACCCCCACTCTGTGGCCTTCCAAGCTGGGTATGTTCCAGCTGAAGATGAGGACTTAAGAGGCTGCTGGGGCTGTGCTGGGGGCGGGAGGCCTGAGCAGCCCTCCCTTCTTGCCCCCCGTCCCCTGTCTCCTTCCTGCCCCCCCCCACACACATTATATCCTGGGGCAGGGGGGTGTCCCTGAAGGACCAGGCTCTTTTCCTTTGTCATTTTTCGAGTCCAGATGCAGCTGAATTTTGGAAGAGAATCTTAGTGCCCTGAATGCCTTGTTGTCACTTAAGGGCATAGAAACGAAACTCAAGCAACCAAAGAGTGGACGCAGAACTTGTCCATTCTCCCAAAGGACCCAGATCTGAGAATGTCTGATGCAGAAAGGGAGAGGCAGGGAAGAGGGGAAAGGTGAGCTGGGTTTTGCTGGAAAGGTGCTGGCGTTTGGGGGGAGTCTTGGAGTCTTCCACAAGTCAGCTTAATAGTAATATCAATAACCAACATTTACTGAGCGCTTACTACATGCTAGACACCAAGCTAAGTGATCACTTGACTGCATTTTCTCATCAAATCGTTGTACTACTTTATGAGATACTGTTATTAGCTTTGTATTATAGAGAAGAGCAGAGGCTCAGAGAACACCAGAAATACCTGAATAAGTGACAGGGAGAGTTAGGGACAGACTTGAACTCAAATTAGGAAACCACTTCCTGTGTGGCTGCAAGAACCTCGGTTGACTCTCTCGTAAAATGGGAATGTCTGGTTCCATCATCTCCAATGTCACCCCCCAGTTCTGAGATTCTAAATGTGCGCCAAAGATTCTGGGGATCTGCTTAGATATGTCTCAAGTGGGGGCCTGCTTTCTTGAAATGGGTCTGTGTGGAAGCGTGTAACGATTTTCTGTTCCCTCCTCCCCCTGCAGTGAAACTTTGGTCTGGAGGCAAATGTCCAGTTTGGGCAGGTAAAGGGAACAGATGAAAACAGAAAGATCGTTTGTATTTTCAAGGCTCCAACTGGGGAGGGGGAATAATACATTGGGTTTGAAATCCAAAGCTGGGTTTGAATCCCAGCCTGTGACTTAGGATCCTGGGCACATCCCTTTGCTGTTTGATTCCTCATCTCTATGCTGAAAATGGGATTGCACACGCTTCCCAGGGCTGCTGTAGCATCAGACGGAGTCCAGCACGCGACAGCAGCAGAGCCATTCCTGCACGCAACAGCTGCTCAGAGCGTTCATTCATTCATCCACCCGCAAATAAATAAAAAGCGGAGCCGGAGAGAGTGTTCCTCTCCATCGCTTCTGACGTAGATGGTCAAGAATCTTTCCTTTAACTGTACCCTCCATAAAAGTTCACTCATAAACTATTGATATTTTAATAATACACATTAGCATCTTGCCCTTTGACAAATGAATATTGAATGAGCAATAAAGAGGCAAAAGAGTAGCCAGGTAGAGCACTGCGGGGAAGCTGGAATCGCGAGTGGCTGTCAGAGGGAATGCCCCCTTCCAGGCCATGACTGGCCTCTCCCCAGTGACCCCCAGGGAACAGCCCTGAAAAGGAGCTCAGATCCCAGCCCAGCTCAGCCTGAGCAGGATTTGTCCTCAGTTTTCTGCGACTGGCTGGAGGGGACTTGGGAGGAGAACAGGCCATTGACAAGCTGCCCAAGGCAGGGGAGGCTCACTCCCTCGTGAAGCACCTTGGATGCCCCACTACCTTTGCTACAGGTGCAGGCTCCTTTCTCATATGCTCTCTCCTGCTCCATAAATTAAAAGTCTGCAGATAGGTTGAACCTGGCTGATGTGGTTCAGTGGGTTGAGCGCCGGCCTGCAAACCAAAGGGTCACTGGTTCAATTCCCAGTCAGGGCCCATGCCTGGGTTGTGGGCCCAGGTTCCCAGTAGGGGATACTCTAGAGGCAACGACACATTGATGTTTCTCTCCCTCTCTTTCCCTCTTTCTAAAAATAAATAAATAAAATCTTTTTTAAAAAAAAGTCTGTACACAGATTGCCCACGAGAAGTCTTTCTCTACCTGGTCTTGATGGGCGCCTATGTTGGGGTGTGTGCCAAGGTTTACAAGACGTAATTTCCTGCCTCTCCCAGCTCCTGCTCCCTGCCCTGCTGCCACAGCCTCCGGTTTGCCGTGGCCTCCATCTGGGCTGGGAGTCCTTGCGTGTGCAGAGAACGGTGGCAGGGGCTCTTCGTCGGTCCGGCTTAATTGGGGTGATTTAATGGCATTTCTGGCAGATTCAGATTTATACGGCTTTCTGAGCTGCAAATCTGCTTTCTAAATGTAGAATTTTTGTGGAGTGGTAAAAAATAATGGCTGTTCTGCGATTCCTGCCTCCTGAGCTAGGAGATTGCAATTTACATTATGCAAATAGACATTATGCAATCAAGGCACTTTAGCAGGAATCTGGTGGCGGAGAGGCCGCTGATGAGATGCCGAGGTCTG